CCATAAAGAATTTTATTTCTCCTTCACTTATGAAGCTTAGTTTGGCTGGATATGAAATTCTGGGTTGAAAGTTCTCTTCTTTAAGGATGTTGAATAGTGGCCCCCACTCTATTCTGCCTTAGGGTTTTTGCCAAGAGATCTGCTGTGAGTCTAATGGGCTTCCCTTTTTTGGTAGCCCGACCTTTCTCTCTGCCTGCCCTTAGCAATTTTTCCTTCATTTTAACCCTGGTGAATCTGACAATTATGTGCCTTGGGGTTGCTCTTCTTGAGGAATATCTTTGTGGTGTTCTTTGTATTTCCTGTATTTGAATGTTGGCCTGCCTTGCTAGGTTGGGGAAGTTCTCTTGGATAATATCCTGTAGAGTGTTTTCTAGCTTAGATTCATTCTCTCCCTCACATTCAGGTACACCTATCAAATGTAGATTAGGTCTTTTCACATAATCCCATGTTTCTTGGAGGCTTTGTTCATTTCTTTTCACTCCTTTTTCTCTAATCTTGCCTTCTCATTTTATTTAATTGAGTTAATGTTCAGTCTGATATCCTTTCTTCTGTTTGATTGATTTGGCTATTGAAACTTGTGTATGCTTTGCGAAGTTCTTGTGCTATGTTTTTCAGCTCCATCAAGTCATTTATGTTCCTCTCTAAGCTGGTTATTCTAGTTAGCATTTTGTCTAACCTTTTTTCAAGATTCTCAGTTTCTTTGCATTGGGTTAGAACATGTTCCTTTAGTTCACAGAAGTTCGTTATTACCCATCTTCTGAAGCCTGCTTCTGTCAATTTGTGAAACTCATTCTCCATCTAGTTTTGTTCCCTTACTGGTTAGGAGTTGTGATCCCTTGGAGGAGGAGAGGCGTTCTGCTTTTTGGTGATTTCATCCTTTTTGCCCTTTCTTCCCATATTCGTGGATTTATCCACTTGTGGTCTTTGTTGTTGGTGACTTTTGGATGGGGGTCTCTGAGTGGATATCCTTTCTGTTGATGTTGAAGCTATTTCTTTCTGTTTTTTAGTTTTACTTAAAGCAGTCAGGTCCCTCTGCTGCAGGACTGCCAGAGGTCCACTCCAGACCGTGCTTGCCTGGGAATCACCCGCGGGGGCTACAGAACAGTAAAGATTGCTGCTTGTTCCCTCCTCTGGTAGCTTTGTTCCACCAGATGTCAGCCAGAGCGCTCCTGAATGAGGTGTCTGTTTGTATATACGGGGGTCAGGGAGTCACTTGAGGAAGCAGTCTGTCCACTATCAGAGCTCAAATGCTGTGCTGGGAGCTCCATTGCTCCCTTCAGAGCTGCTTGGCAGGGACATTTTAGTCTGCTGCAGCGGAACTCACCTCTTTGTCCAGGTGCTCTGTCCTGAGAAGGTGGAGCTTTATTTATAAGTCCTGGAGGGGCTGCTGCCTTTTTTCAGAGATTCCCTGCCCAGCAAGGAGGAAGTCTCCTCACAGTCTGCCTGCAGAGACATTGCTGGGTTGCTGCGGGCTCCTCCCAGCTGCTGTGTACATTTCCTTGTAATTTTGTTTACATAGGTAAGGTTAGGACTGCCTTGGTAATAGTGGACTGTCTCAGTAATGGCAGATGCCCTTCCCCCAGCCTAGCTGGGCTGTCAGGGGTTGAGTTCAAACTGCTGTGCTGGCTGGGAAACTCCCTAGCCTGTGAGTTTCGGTTTGCTGCTCTTTGTGGGGTTGGGACCTGCCAAGCCAGATCACTTAGTTCCCTGCCTTCAGCCCCCTTTTTTCCTTCAGGGGAATGGGTGGCTGTGTCTGGCAGGTGTTCCAGGCACTGGCTAAAACAGCTGTCCAGACCCCAGACTTGTGCTGGAAACCCGCAGTGCCTGCTGAAACGGCCACCTGACATCTGTGCTGGAAACCTAAGGCTCCCGTTCATATAGCCGCCCAGATTTGTGCTGGAAACCCATCATGGCGTTTGTCGGCCTGGTGGGAATCTCATGATCTGTGAGCTGTAAAGATTGTAGGAGAGGCGCAGTATCTGAACCAAGTGCCGGAGTGGCTGGAAAAATTCTCGATGGCCTCGGTTGTGTGTGTATGTGGGGTCCTCTGGCCCATTGTACTTCCCAGGTGAGGCAGCACCCCACCCTGCCTGGGTTTGTCCTCCTTGGGCTACACCCACTCTCCAAACCAGTCCCATTGAGATGAACCTGGTACCTTGGTTGGAAATGCGAAGATCACTGAACTTCTGCCTCACTCTCAGTTCACTGTGCTCTGGAGCTTTTCCTGTAAGGACATTTTTTGTAGTTTTGAACATATTGCTGGAACTTCATGACTATGTACTTTCAGTAACAGCTTCAGAGACTCTATATTTTTTCCTCAGGATTTTTTTTTTCATATTTTTAAGCATTTAAAAAAATAATATGTGAGATCAGATATCTTTTCACAGGATGCATCTTTGCTTTCATTTTTTTAGACCTGCATTAGTTATTTATTCCTGTGTAATAGGTTATCCTAAAATTTGAGGGCTTAAACCAATATTTAGTATTATTTAGTATTGACCCTTTCTTTGGGTCAGGAATCAGGCATGGCTTACTAGGCTCCTGTCCCTCAAGGTTTCTCACAAGCTTGCAGTGACAATATCACTTGGGGGTGTGGTTTCAAGGTACAGCTGGGAAGGGTCAACTTCTTTTTGTTGTTTTTCTTTTGTTTTGAGACAAGGTTTAACCCTGTTGCCCAGGCTAGAGTGGCATGGCTATTTTGGCCAGTCTGGTCTTGAACTCCTGTCCTCAAGTGATCCACCTGCCTCGGCCTCCCAAAGTGCTGGGATTACAGGCATAAACCATCGTGCTTGGTCAAGGATCTACGTCTAAGTTTGCTCTTGGTGGAATTTTGGTAAGCTGGTTCTTGGTAGGATTCAGCTCTTTGTGGACTGCGGGCCTCAGTTCTTCACTAGCTGTTGTCTGGAGACCTCCCTCAGTTATTCGTCACGTGGCCCTTCCATATGTCAGCTCACCACATGACAGCTGGTTCCATGAGAGGGAGCAAGATTGAAGCCAGAGTCCTTTGATAACCTAATCTTAGAATTGACATTTCATTGCTTTTGCTAAATGTTCATTAAAAGTGAGTCAGTAGGTCCAGCCCATGTTCAAAGGGAGAGGATTTCATAAGGGCATGAGTATCAGGAGGTGGGGTTTATTGGGTCCATCTTAGAGGCAGCCTGCCAAATGTTCTGAAAGTTAATACTTGATTCATGTTTGCTAGGTACTTTAATCCCAAAAATTACTCTTTACACCTCCCTTTCTCCTCTGCACCTGCCATGTGAGGAGAGAGATATGTAAGAGAGTACATATACTCTTTTATATGAAGGGTCTCCTTATTTTCCTATACCTGTAACCAATTTCCAGTGATACCCTAAGATTCAGAAGTGGATATATCTTCTCAGGTTTATCAAAAATTGAGCATAGCACTCAATGAATATTGAAAGAATGAATACATTTGTAAATGATGAATTTGCAGTTACTTTAAATAGTTCTGCCTAGAAACTTTTACAAAGGAAAGTTTTATCAAAGGGCATTTATGGGAAAGTAATTTTCAGGCAGAAGTAATAACAAGTGCACTCTCAAGAAGTTATGAAACAGCCTGGTATGTTCTGGAGTGGTGAGAAGTTCAGTAGGAATGGGGTGAAGAATCTTTTATGGAGGAACATGGGAAATAATGGTGGAGAAGCAGGTTGGGGCTAGATTGTTTTCTGTGCTAAAGACTTGGACCTAACTGTGAACTGGTGGAGCGCTTTAAGCAGGGGAGAAGGACTTTACTATATTAGTATTTTATGAAGACAAGCTCTGTAGCTTTGCTGAAAAAAGGACTAGCAGGCAGAACCTAAAGACCATCCTGATTATGAATGCTTATGTGGACTGAATTAAGCAATTGACAATAGTTTTCGAAAAAGATTGTAGAGCCACTTGGCCTTTTCCTGGAATAGATATGTTGGAGACTGCCAGCTGTCCCCTAATGTATTCTTTCTCTTTTGCTGTGTGAAAGGATCCTTTTTTTCATAGAGTAGTATTATGTTTGCCACTCTCCCTTAGTAACACAGTGAATAAATTTGGGTCAGTGGGATGTGAGCAAAAGGATCTGCAACTTCCCAGGTCATGCTTTTAAAAAAGGGACATGTACCTTCAGATTTTTCTTTTCCTACTCTGTACTGGCTTGAGTGTAGACCTGGTGTTAGGCTGTCTTGGACTAGATAGGAGGTATAGCCTGAGAATAGTAGACAAAATGGAAGGATCCTGGATCCCTAAGCGCTTTGTAGAGCAGAACCTTCAGCTCCTAGTTTAACAGGAAAGAACCAAACTTAATCTGGGTTATGCCATTATTTTGGTTTCTTATTACAAAAAGCCAAATCTGATTGCTAAATCATTATTGGTGAGGTAAGATACTGGATTGTGTAGGAATAAAAAAAAAAACTGAGATGTCTAATTTGGAGGATTGAATGAATTGTGATCTGATTAATTGGCATAAGGCTTCAGTGGGAAAGTTATATGTTTTCCCTTTTGGATATACTAATTTTGAGATAGCTTCTATTATTTTCTGTATTCCTAATTTGTACAGGCCATAAACCCAACTTTGATTTTGCAGGATTCATTGCCCACTTTGTTCCATGTGAAGCATCTACAATCAAACTCCTACCAATAACCTCTATCCCCTTAATTTTCTTAACTGTAACAAACTTCTGGCTGTGAGTCTATCACTATATGTATTCCCTGTGTCTTCTTTGAAGATGGAACATGTTATGTAAGAGCTGAGTTTATTAACTCCTTCTGTGCCTTTCTTCTGTCATTGCTGAGCACCTCTCAATATATTATTTCTGTCATTACTATGGCAACAGATTATTAGAATTACTTAATAAGTCTGTCTTGACTCCTAATTTTTCTTGTAGTGTTTTTGGCTAACTGTATTTGTTATATTACTGTTTTTGAAAATTTATTTGTAAAGATCTTTGTGACTGAAGGCACTCACATATCTGACCATATGTGTCATATGTTTTCATACATTTTAGCCTAAAGCACCAAAGGGAAAAAGTGCAGGACGGGAAAAAAAGGTCATCCATCCATATAGTAGAAAAGCAGCTCAAATTACGAGAGAGGCCCACAAACAAGAAAAAAAGGAAAAGTAAGTATCTTTCTATCATGTGTATTACTCGTTGGTAAAAAGTCCCTTTATACATTTATCTTTCAAACATCTATTCTTTCATAATATTCTCTCCCTTTCATAAATATTTGTTGAGTGTGTTCTGTATGCAGAGAGTAAAACTGAAAAGGACTCTGTTCTTTTAGAGCTTACCTAAAACAGATTAGTAATTTAAGTTGCAATTGGTTATAAGTGCAACGAAAAATGTAAAAAGGTTATGGGATGGGGAGTGAGGGAGATGTTCTGTTTTACATGAGATAGTCATGGAAGCCCTCTCTGATAAAGTTATATTTGAACAGAGAGTTGAAAAATGTGAGGCAGTGAATTATGCTGATACGTATAGGATATAGGTTAAAGTGCCCATGAGACATATAAGAGGAGATATGGAATGGATAGTTAGATTTGTTGAGTCTAGTGTTCAGAGGTTAGGTTAGGGGTGTTGACATCAATTTGGGAGCAATCGGCATTCATCTGGGATTCCAAGCAGTGAGACTGGATAAGATCAGTTCACCTATGGAGTAACCGCTGATGGGGAGGAGAAGAAAGCCAAGGACTGAGTCTGGTAGCCCTCTACCGTTTAGAGGTTGGGAAAAAGCATTCTACAAGTGAGACTGAGAAGAAGGAGAAAGAAGGCTGTTTCAAAGATTCCTTAAAACGAAGATCAAATAAAAGTCATCATTTTGACTATTTTAGAATACTTTTGCCATTTTAATGAATGCTACATACATTTGCATACTAGATGATGGAAACCAGTATATTTTTAAATGTTGATTTTTTTTTTTTTTTTTTTTGCTTAAGCCTTATTTAGTAAAGATTAGCTGTTTCACTGTACCTTGGCTAGAGGAAAATAATCAAGTGTTGTAATAGCAGAGTCAAGTTTTCTTTCTTTTCTGGGGATTGGCTCTTTTTTTTTTTAACATAAAGATTTACTATGATGATAGTTTTGCTTTAGAACAGTAATTTTCAAATTTCAGCTATTTGTGATCACTTTTATAATTTTTGTTTTTAACATGATTTATTACTATGATTTGTAGTTTCTGCTGTCATATATATCAGTATTTTGCAAACTTAGGTACACGACATACATCTGTAGAGCTTATTAAAACTGTTGTTCCAACTGCTAGAATTTTCTGTTCTGAAGATTGGGGTTTCTGGCCTAAGGGTTTCCATTTCCAACAAGTCTCCAGGTAATGCTGGTGCTGTTGCTGCTGGTTTAGGGACCGCACTATGGGAATTGCTTACCTATACTATTATTTATTTTCCTTAAATACCATTTTTTTTAAAAGGGGTATTTTATCTCTCTTAAAATCAAGTAGATACTCTTAAAATCAAGTACATACTATTACCTGCTGTAGAGTCTGAGATACAACGTTTTTATATGCTTGGTGAAAAGATCTGGCGATTAAGTACTTGGTTCACAATAATTGTGACAGCAAGCCTAGAATGTTTCTATGTTGTCAAGTATATTTAGCATGCTGTATATTGATTTACAGAATTAGCATTATAGAAAAATTATGGAAGAATAAAACAGAACAACCTGTGACTCTCATATATATATATGTTGTCCTACGAAAATTCTATTTATTGACCAAGACTTTTGTTTTAGTAATGCAGAGTAGAAAGGTATCACTTAATTTTTCTGCTTGGACAATATTTTAAATAGATTGGATTTTTTCCCTTTTAAAAATTTATTTTTGAAAAGTCATTATCTCAATAGGCATGGCCGTAGAACCAAATATACAAAAATATGTTAGGTAATAGTACCTAACATATTTTATGTTATGAAATCATAGGCTTAGGCCACCATAGATGTCAGTTTTTTTGAGTAGCAGCATTAGCGACCACGAATCATACTTAACACTAAATGGGAGTGTGGTCACAAAAGGCATGTTGAAATGTTGTTGATTCCCTGCGCCATTTCAAAAGATGATTGTGACAAGATACCCAGATGGTTGGGGCAACTTGAAGCAAGTTCATAGAAAAGGTACCAATAGGACTTAACTTGAACTTGGATACCTGTGGCTTCTTAGAAATTAACAGCAGTCACCAGATGTTTTAGTAACTGTTACTGCATAAGAAGTTATGCTACAATTTATCAGCTTAAAACAAGCACAGTTTCTGGATCAGGTAGGAATCCCAATGCCACTTAACTGGGTGTTTCTGACTCAGTGCTTTCACAAGCCTGCAGCTAAGCTGTTGTCTGGGACTGCATTCATCTTAGAGCTTGCTAGGGAGAAGTTCTGCTTCCAAGCTTCTTTACATGGCTGTTGGCAGACCTCAGGTCATGGCTGGCTGTTGACTGGAGGCATCAATCTTTACTGCATGAGCCTCTTCATAAGACTACTCAGAACATGACAGCTTGCTTTCTCCAGAGCAAAGGCTCTGAGACAGAGAGCAAGAGAGAATGGATAAGTCTTTGTAATCTAATTTTGTAATGACATCTGTCTCTACTGCACTATTGTATTTGTTAGAAGTGTGCCACTAAGTCCAGCCATACCCATGGAGGACAGGGACCTAAATATTAAGACGCAAGAATAATTGGGGACCTTCTTACATCTTGCCTCCTTTTGGTAGTATCTGCCTACCAAAGAAAATTGGTTTCCTAAGTAACAGTGGTAACCAGGCAGACTGGAGTATGTTGTCTTAATATGTTTCCATGGAATCCAGGATTCTTTGTACTGCTTCCTAGCTTTTCTTTTTCAGAAGAAGGACAGATAGGAGGAAGGTGGGGAAGGGTATCTATTAGGGAGGGCACTGTGCCTTTTGATGAGTGCTAGATGCAAAAGTTTAGGGATATTGTCAGTTTACTTTAAAATTCAGTAGGAGACTGGGCGCGGCGGCTCATACCTGTAATGTCAGCACTTTGGGAGGCTGAGGCGGGTTGATCACATCAGGTTAGAATTTCAAGACCAGCCTGGCCAACATGTTGAAATCCCGTCCTACTAAAAATGCAAAAATTAGCTGGGCATGGTGGTGGGCACCTGTAATCCCAGCTGCTTGGGAGGCTGAGGCAGGAGAATCGCTTGAACCCAGGAGGCGGAGTTTGCAGTGAGCTGAGATCATGTCACTGCATTCCAGCCTGGGCGACAGAGTGAGACTCTGTCTCAAAAAGAAAAAAAAATACTGTAGGAGTAGTTAACAATGCTAGAATAAAAGTTCAAACATATTCTTTATCTTCAACATTTGAAAAGCTCTGATTTAGACTATGTAACATAAACTAGGATGGTTTGAAGACTAGCACATTCTGAACAATGAACAATTTACAAGCAGCAAGTGGCTCTTTTATATGATGTGATTTTTGTTTTATGATTTCTCAGCATAGCAACATTTTGACATAGGTAGCAAATGAAAATGACTCCAAGTGGAAAATTAACAAAGGAAACTAAGCAGGATGGGTAAGAATCGCAGAAACCACTGCCTTTGAGAATTAATCTTATTGATACACTTCACTTAATTGATTCTCTTTAAAAATCATGCTTACACATTGTCTATCTTAAAAATTAATCTCTCTACCTTTCTTCATCCCACCAATACCACTGTAATTTCAGGTTCCCATTGAGTCCATTTGGAATTACTGTGGCTTGACTTCTAACTAGATTCTTCCCTCCAGCCTTATTTAAAAGAAACAAATTCCTCTCAGAGCCATTCTCCAACTTTTTATGAAGTGTTCTTTGTTTTTTAAAATCAACTTTGAGGTTTAATTAATATATAATAAAGTGAACACATTTTAAGTGTAGTTTTTGGGTTTTGACAATTGTATACATTGGTGTAGCAACCCTGATCAGTATGTAGTACAATTTCCTCTTCCTAGAAAATTCCCTGTGCACCTTCCCAATCAGTCCTCACCCTCTATCCCTCGTCTCAGGCAGCCACTAATTTGCTCTTTATTTTGATAGGGAGATTTATGTTTCTAATGCTTACTGTAAATGGAATCATACTGTATGTGGTCTTTTGTGCCAGCATCTTTCACATAGCATAATATTTGTGAGACTTATCCATGTCATTTTATGTATTTGTCGTTCTTTCCTTATATTGGGACTATTATTCCATCCTCAGGCAATGTGTTTATATCCATTCACTGGATATGCAACTTGCTTATCAATTCACTGTCTGTGTTCATTTGGATATAATTTTAGTTTTCGGCTATTATCGGGGATCTGCAAGCTAAGACATTAGCCACCTGTTATTATGAAAAGTTTTTATGGAAAACATCAATGCTGGTTTCTTTTGTGTTTTCTATGGCTGCATTCATGCTGCAGTGGCAGAGTTGAGTAATTGTGACAGGTTCATGGCCTTCAAAGTCTAAAATGTGACCATTTGACCATTTAAGAAAATATTTGTCAACCTCTGCTATTAGGAATAAAGTTGCCATAAGCACTCATGTACAGGTGTTTGTGTGGACATATGTTTTTATTTTTCTTTTAGTTCCTAGAACTATGATTGTTAGGTAGATGTTTGAGTTTATAAGAAATTCAGTTTATAAGACTTGCTGGGTCAACATACTTAATGTGTTTGCTTAAGTTTATAAGAAATTAGGTTTATAAGAACTGCTGGATTATATGTTTAAGTATATTTGAAATTACCTTTTTCAAAGTGATAGTACCATTTTATATTTTCACCGCCAGCGTATGATAGTCCTGTTTACTGTATATCCTCTTGAACATGTTATATTGTCAGAGATTTTTTTTTTCCCTCTTTAATTTTAGCCAACCTAGTAGGTATGTAATTTTTAATTTTTCATTTCTTGATGACTAATGATGTTGGGCATCTTTTTATGTTCTTTTTGGTCATTTGTGTTTTCTTCTTGGAGAAACTTTCCAAATCTTTTGCCTTTTTGGTACTGGGTTGTTTATCTGTTATTAAGTAGTAAGGACTGTTTGTATATTCTAGATACAAGTCCTTTGTGATTTGTGTTATGAATATTTTCTCCTATAACTGGTATGGTGGCTCATCTTTGTAATCCCGGTGCTTTCGGAGGCTGAGGTTGGAAGATTGCTTGAGGCCAGGAGTTTGAGACCACCCTGGGTAACATAGTGAGACTCTGTCTCTACAAAAATAAAAGTTAAAAAAAAAGTAGCCAGGCATAGTGGACAATAGTCCTAGTAGGCAGGATGATTGCTTGAGCCCAGGAGTTTGAGGCTGCAGTGGGCAATGATAGCACTACTGCACTCCTGCCTGAGCTACAGAGTAAGGCCCTGTCTCTAAAAATAATAATAACAAAAAGATTTCATTTTATTTATCCAGTTCTCTAGTTGTGTAAAATGGGAGGGTAATTCTGGTTTGCTTACTTCTTTGTGGATAAAAGCTACGTATACTTCCTGCTTTACACAACGCCTTCTCCTGTGGCTAAGATTTTTCTTTTCCCATAATTGTAGTCCCTATTTTTTTCTTTTTTAATCCTGAATAACTTCTCTGCATGTTCAGGTTTTAGCTTAAAGTTTACTTCTCTGGAAAACCTTCCAAAATCCTAGAACATATAGTAGGTGCTTTTTAAATATGCTTTTGTGGCTCTGTATGCTTCTGTGTTTTTATTAACCTTAGATTTTCATGTTTGTTAAGACAGGGACAGTGGATTTTTTTCTTCATTGCTGTATCCCTCGGGGCTGTCAGAAAATGAAGTCTGGCAAAAACTTGGTATCCAGAGGTCTCCTGAAAGAATGTGTTTAGAATATCAGTAAATAGGAGGCATGCATTACCTATACACTTTCTGAAAATAAATGAAATTTTTGTTTGTTATAATTCTTTTCAAATTCATGGAAAGTAATCATTCTGTTTTGTTCTTTTTGAAGTTTAAAAGATGATAGTAGTGCATTTTGATCTTGGTGGCAGCACTCAGTCCTCCAAAGGTTTGCATTACTCTTGTGCACAAGTATTCTGCATATTATAGAACCCATCTGAATGTTCAGAATTCAATCAAGCTTTTGGCGTTTTTAAACTGTTTTGTTCAATAGGCTTCCTTTAGACATTGAGGAGCTGAAAAAAAGTTTCTGATAAAATTTTATTCTAGTGATTTAAAAGAGAAGCATGGTATTTAGTGTTTCTGTTAACAAAATTATTTTCAAATTTGTACAAGAATGATCATTTGATTAGAGGTCTTTAGCCAGTTTTTCTTTTGGTTGTTATTGTCAGAGTTTTAAAACTTGCTTTGGAAATTTTCTAACACATATGTATATATACCTTTCCTTCAAAGACTGAAGAATGAAAAGGCCCTGCGTCTCAACCTTACTGGTAAGTGGGTTTACTTGTTTGAAATTCTGGCTAGAGTATAGGGAATTTCTGCCCTATACCTATTTTTTCTTTTTACTCTTTTCGTGAAATACTATTTTTATTAAAGAATTTGATCAGACTTGACCTAAACAAAGCAAATCAATCATTAAACTGTTGGAATAGTGTTAGTGATGTCTAGCTAAGTTTTCCAGAAAGTGTTAGTTTATATTTATCTATCTACCTACCAGTCAACACATATATACATATCCATCTATTGGTCTATCAGAAGTTTAACTCTACCTCCCTAACCATTAGAATTATGAAGGATTATGGCCTAGGTGGAAACAATGATTCATATTTATTTAATGGTGTGGACATACACATCGTCAGTTTGTATCTCAGTATCATGTCGCTTTTTTTGGTCAGTGTTATAGCTAATAATTTTTTATAGACAAGTCTGAGATTTAAATACTGTTAGGCTCTTTTAGTAAAATGAAAGATATTTGAACCCTCATCTATAATGCTTCCTCAGGAAATAGAATAGTATTTTTAAATGGGGTATCAGTATACTGGGCAAGGTGATTTTTTTTTATCTGTAATCTTGAGAACTGTAACTGAAAGTGACCCCAATGGTCAGGTTTTCTCATAAGGATGAATTTTGTTGGCTCTATCTCAATTACTCTACACAGTACCTGGCAGCTCTTGTATGCTTAATGTATATTTGCTAACTTTGGGGCCCTGGACAAGTTATTTAACCTCTCTCATCTACAAATGGGGGTAATAATAATATCAATTCTCATGGGATTATAAAACAATTTACATAGTGCCTGCAGCTTATTTAATACTCAGCAAATATCATTCTCATCCTTAATGGAGTTTTCATTTTATTATTTTTGACAAGCTATCTTTGCTTTTAAATTTATTATTTTTGGCAAGCTATCCTTTACTTAGAAATTCATACCCAATTAAAGGATTATTTTCCTTTTTTGCATCCATATTGGATAAGAAATATACACAGAAGGGCATCCCTCTCACTCCTCTCTCTTCTCTAAATTAAAATCTGACGACAGTTTAATTTGTGACAGACTGGTTTAGCTGTGAGCTCACACAAGGCTTTATGTTTAACATTGACATAAATTTTGGTTCTGTTTTAAGCACATTAATGTTGAGAATTATAATGAATATTTCCTTGCTGATTTGTGTGGTAAACTGTCTTGGTACTTGTTTATAGGTGAAAAACTGCAATGGTTTCAAAATCATCTTGATCCCCAAAAAAAGGGATATTCAAAGAAAGATGCTTGTGAACTAATCGAAAGGTAAACATGGCATATTATGAGCAAAGGGTCAGAAAAGGGAATTCTCCAGCGGGGTTCTTTAAAACACAGAGCTCTGTTCTGGATTTGTAGAAGAGCAAATGGACTTGGTTATCAGGAAGACTTTGGATTCATTTCCTGGCTTAGTCACTATAGGAGGTTTGTAAGCTATTTGAGTCTCAGAGCGGTAGTTAGACCACTTTCTTGGGATTGTGACAGGCTTCCTGGAGAAGTGTCATCTAAACTGGCAGCTGAAAGGTAGGGGTTAGCAGATGAAGGCCAAGGTAGTTTGAAGAACCCCTAGCCAGAAAGAATATTTAAAATGTCCAGAAGCAAGAATGAAGATAACATATTTAGTGATCTGCCAGACATTTAATATGACTAAAATAAGTTCAAGGAGGGAAGTGTGGCAGGTACAGTAAATGGTAACTAGCTCACGAAAGATCTCAGATGTTAGTCCAAACATTTGGACCTTATCCAAGGACATTAGCAGCCATAGGAGGCTTTTATGGCAAGTACCTGAAAAGATCATACTTAACATTAGAAAGGACACAGTGAGAATGAAGAAAACAGACTGAGAGGTTCATGACTCTGGCCAAGAAACCGTTGAAAGGTTGGTATAACAATCCAGGCAAGAAATGATGGTGGCCTTTGCGTGGCTTATAGCATGATGAAAAGAGAATTGAAAGATTCCAAAGATATTAAGAGGGTAGAAGTCTCAGTGTTTAGTGAAAACTTAGGTGTAGAATAATAGGGAGAGAGAGCAGTCAATGAGGCCATCAGATTCCTTGTCTGGACAACTGTTTCCTGAGTTAGGAAACCCAGGAGATAGAGGGGGTTGGTGGGGGTAGGTGAGGACAGGGTGATAACAAGTTCAGTTTTGATGTGCTAATGGTGAAGCCACTAGGGGACATCCAGGTGGAGATGGTGGTTGAATGTGAGGGTCTGCAGTTTGATAGTAGCTGTGATTTGGTCACTGAAGTTAAGGAAATGGTCGAGTTATCCAGGGAATGGGTAAAAGAGGTTTGAGAACCTGAGGAATCCAGAGGAGCATAAACATTTAAAGGACACACGAAGGCTGGATACTAAGTTTTCCCTTAGGTAATAAAAGCCAAATACTAGACTTTGTATGAAACACAAATCATATTCTTATTTTTCAGGTACTTAAACCGATTCAGCAGTGAGCTGGAGCAGATTGAGTTACATAACAGTATCAAGGACAGGCAGGGGAGGCGGCACTGTTCCCGGGAGACTGTCATCAAGCAGACGATGGAGCGGGAGCGACAGCAGTATGAAGGATATGGCCTTGGTGTGCTCACTGATTTTTTATTTTCCTTTTATATTACAGAGCAGTGTCAATTTGTGATTGATTTCAAAGGTTTATTTTATATATTGTTTATTTCATTTGATTTTCTTCCTTTGATATTCTTTTCTTTGTGAGGATTTAGAATAATTTCGGATTCTTTTTTTTCCTCTACAACAAAACTATCAATTTTGTGAGAGTGACATCATATCTTTTCACTGTGGTAGTAATACTGATTACTCTCATATTCATCTTGTCAACCCTAACTTGTCCCTAGTACTCCAGATTTGCAGTATCACACTTGGGTTTCTCAAACTCTCTATTTACATGTCTTTTGGGCATTTGAGACTTGACATATCATCAAACAAAGGTCAGCTTTTCTCCTAAAACATGCTCCTCCCATAGGTTTCTTACTCCAGTCAGTGGCATCACCACTTGCCCAGTTGCTCAGATCAGAAACCCTAGAGTCACTTTCACAGTCTACATGCAACCTGTCAGCAGAGTGTTTAGAATCTGGTGACTTTGACAACTTTCCACCTCCCTGGTTCAAGCCACTGTCGTCTCACCACTACCATGGTAATAGCCTCTCTGTGCCTCCACTCTTTCCCGCTAAAGTCTGTTTAACATGTAGCAGCCAGATTAGTTGGTAGTATCTATCAGAGCACATCCAAAGTAAACCATTTGCTGATGATACAGCTAGGACTAAAATTCAGATCTGCTATGCTGCAATGCTTTTCCCTGAATCAAGGAATGGGTCTGGTGAACAGACTGATGAGTTTACAGGTGTCAGTTTTCTTGTTGGGAGATTGTCACCAAATTCCGTTTTGATAAGATTTTGAAAAGACTAGATATGACCATTGCCTCTCCCCTCCTCATGTGGTGTAAATATTTCTAATTCAGTAAGATTCATTAAAAAAAAAATTTTGTGCTTATTTATACCTCTTAACACCTAGCATCTCATACTGTTATTCTCTGAAACTATCGTAAAAAGTCAACATAGTCCGGGCATGGTGGCTCATGCATGTAATCCCAGCACTTTGGGAGGCCAAGACAGGCAGATGACCTGAGGTCGGGAGTTCGGGGTCAGCCTAACCAACATGGAGAAACCTTGTTTCTACTCAAAATGCAAAATTACCTGGGCATGGTATAATCCCAGCTACTTGGGAGGCTAAGGGAGGAAAATTACTTGAACCCAGGTCAAGGTTGCAGTGAGCCGAGATCGCGCCATTGCACTCCAGCCTGGGCAACAAGAGCGAAACTCCATCTCAAAAAAAAAAAAAAAAGTCAGTGTCTGGTTGTAACAAACATGCTTATTTTATCTTCTTTATTACTTGATACTAAATGTCATTTAACATTGTATTGAATTGATGAGATTTTTTGCAGCAATCTTCCAATTTTTTTGTTCATGCCTCTTGTATTTCACCAATTTAAGTGTGATCATGCATGTTGGTTTATGATGAACTTTTGAAACAAGCTAAGAAACTACCATATACCTGTTTTTAATTAAAAATGGGTTTAAGTTTTATTGAACTTCTTTAAGCAGATTTTTTTTTTATTTAAAAAGGTTTTTTTTTCACATTTAGAAAAATGTGATTTTTTAAAAACATTAATTTTTGCATTCCTGAGATAAGTTCTGCCCTGTGAAGGTAGATTATTACATGTTTGAAAACATTGTACTTTTCACCAAGAAAAAATATATAACCTGGCATGTTATTTTAGCGGATCAATAGTTATGCTTTGCCAGGTCACCTTTTATTGTTAAAAAGGAAAGCGTTTATTTTGTTAATAGCTTTGTTTTATTTCATGGATTCTATGCTAGAATTGATCATTTAGTAGAATTTTTCTTAAGTCAAACTTTTCTTGTTAATTGTAGCAATTTGAAATGTTGTTTTCTTTTGGATATTTTTGCTAAAAATTATTTGTTTTAGAAAAATAACAAAAGAGGGAACTGTAAAATTGTGTCATTTAGAAAACTTTGCCTAATGGAGATGAATTATTCTCTTTTCCAGAGATTCCAGACATTCTAAATGCAAGTAATCTGAAAACATTTAGGTGAGTCTAGATGCTGTGTGTAAAGTATATGGCAAGTGAACTTTCTTCCCCTTTGAGTCTAGATGGTTAAAACTTTCTTTTCCTTTGAGGCTAAAAGGTTGAAAATCAGGGGTTTCTTTTAACCTTTTCTTTTTTATCAGACCAAGAAAGAATTTTCTGAAGTTGCGCTTATAAATACTTGATATGCATTGACAAGATAGTGACCTGGTGTGCTTGTCGTTTTTCAAAATGCTTTAAGATAAATTATTATTATAGTACCTCAAAGTATGTGATCTCACTGTTCCTCCATTAGTTCCTATTTTTTTAAAAAAAAAAAAAAAAAAGAAGAGCAACAAATATGATGGCTCAGAGTCACATCCCTAGGCTGTTCTGTAGCAGCCTCTTTTGCAGAGGAGATGGTTATAGGAATGATTCCAGGGAACAGGTTAAGTCATCAAGACTCGCTTTGTCCAGTGGTCTCTAGTTGTACTCTTTTGTAAACTGGGAAACTACTGAGTAGCATTTCAATTTTTTAGGGTTTTTTTTTTTTCCTCTTTTTTTCAACTTTTATTTTAAATTCAGAGGTACATATACAGGTTTGTTATGAAGATATATTGTGTAATGTTAAGGACTGAAGTAAGAATGGATCCATTACTCAGGTAGTGAGCATAGCACCCAGTAGGTGTTTTTTCTTACCTCTTATCCCTCTTTCTCCCCTGTCTTGTATTTCCCAGTGTCTGTTGTTCCCATTTTTATGACTTTATGTACCTAATGTTTAGCTCCTACTTCTAAGTGAGACATGTAGTAGTTGCATTTGTGTTTCTGTGGTATTTACTTAGTTCACTTAGGATAATCTATAAAACTCCTAGAAGAAAACCTAGGGAATACCCTTGTTGATACCAGCCTTGGCAAAGAATTTATGGCTAAGCCTTCAAGCAATTGCAATAAAAACAAAGATGGACAAATGGGACCTAATTTCTGCACAGCAGGAGAAACCGTAAAGGGAGTATGGTTAGAGTTCAGTTCCCAAAACAATATCCATATTCCTTCTACAGTAATTAATTATCACAGAAAATACTGAGGTTGAAAAACTGAATATTTTCCATTATAAGAATAACAGTTGTTTGATTTCTGAAACTTAACTGGGTTGTACTTCTGTGTGTGAAAACGAAAACTTTTTCTGACTATATGTTGGAGATTTGTCAGGTAATCATACCTGACAATGTCTGCTTTTGATTGCAATTCTTGATGTGGGTAGCCTGAGAGAAGGAAATACTCAGGTTAGGGAGGATGAAAGAAGAGAACAGCTTTCTTGTAATTTATGCTTAATATTTTCCTTTAGTGCTCTTGAAGTTTTGAATTTGTAGGATCCTCCGAGTTTCAAAAATTTACTGTCTCCTGTTTTTTCACTTCAACACTCTGTACTCTTTTTTTTTTTTTTCCTTTTGTCTAGGGAATGGGACTTTGATCTGAAGAAATTGCCAAACATTAAAATGAGAAAAATTTGCGCTAATGATGCAATTCCGAAGAAGCATAAGAGGAAAACTGTTATAACTGAAGACCAAAATTTAGGAGAATTGGAACTAAATGATGAAACAAGTGACTCAGATGAGGAAATGACTGCAGTGGCCTAATTGTCTGCACTTAAATTGAAAATAAGTAACTTGAGAGTTTCAAATTATATTCATTGGTTATGGTACATAATTGTCGATATACAAGAATTTGATATTGACATTCTCTTATATGATGAGAGTTTCATTTGCAGTTTCAAAAATGGTGTTATATTTATTTTAAAATGAACATTGCTTTTTATTTATATTAAGTTGCTAAAATAGATAGACATGATCTGCAAAAAGTTGTTTAATCTTTTTCATCTTAATTTTGGGCTGGGAGGAAACAATGTAACTCTCTCCCAGCCTGAATGTTTTGGGCAAAAAATGTTTTTTTTGTGGGTGTGTATTTATGATTACCTAATTTCACATTTTGTGATATGAACAGTAACTTTCTCTCTTAATTTTTGCTCATAGTTAAGTCTTAAAATGGTTGTAAAAACTTAGTTATAAATTACATGAAAGAGAATAAGAATTGCTTTATCTGAACTGACACTTAAATGCCCCTCCTGTTAGATGAATACCTTGTGAAAAGTGATGGATTGTCCTTCTTCTTAAATATTTGTTTCTAGTTTCCCCTGTGTTGTCAAAGCAAAGATTATAACTAATAAGCTACACTGCTGGGAAACTAGATTAGATAAGTATTTATTGAATGAATGTATTTACCATTTAGGACCATAATAATTATGTCACTCCTAGTTGGATCAAAGTAGCCTCAGAGTTAACTTGTCTTTAGAGTGATGCTTAAGATGTCCTTAATCCTTACCTATTAAACATTTTCACATGGGGTGATAACTTGTGCTTCCTTCTTCTAGATCACTTTTAAGTCAGTGGCACATTTTTGTAAGACAACGTCTATAGTTCATGGCCATGAAACAAAGTAAAGGTAACTTATTTTTGTAAACTAGGGGCTAGCAAACTGTTTGTTTGCAAAAGGCCAGAAAGTAAATATTTGATATATTAGGCAGTATAGGCCAAATGTAGTTTCTGTTGTATATTCGTGTACATACATGTGTTTGTCACCCTTTAAAAATATAACAACCACCTGGGCATGGTGGCTTACGCCTGTAATCCCAACACTTTGGGAGGCCAAGGTGGGTGAATCACTTGAGGTCAGGAGTTTGAGACCAGCCTGGCCAACATGATGAAACCCCATCTCTGCTAAAAATACAAACATTTGCGTGGTGTGTTGGCAGGCGCCTGTAATCCCAGCTACTTGGGAGGCTGAAGCAGGAGAATTTATTGAACCCAGGAGTCAGAGGCTGCAGTGAGCTGAGACTGTGCCACCATTGTGCCACTAACCCCCAGCCTGGGTAACAGAGTGAGATGGTGTCTCAAAAAATAAAATAAAACAATATAAAAACCATTCTTAGTTAATGGCCATACAAAATAGGTTGGGGGATTGATTTGCTTGTCATAATTGGCTGATCCCTTGTCTAAATGAATGAGCTGAACTTCCATGGACATAAGTTAATGATACATTTCCAAGTTCAGAGCAGCTAACACACATCTGTGGTCTTTTTCCCCAATATCCTAGTTGCTTCCTGGATGTAATTACTGACAGAAGTGTCCCTCTAGGACCTTGCTTACTTCAAGTAGAAGCTTTTTCTATTCTTACTCCCCATGTGCTTCAGGAGCAGGAGATTAGGTAGGTGTCCTCTTTCCTCTACTGTCACTTCAGAATAATTATTTAATAAAGACCCCCTTGGGTCTTTGAAGTCCTATTCTTGCCTCCTTTCCTTATCTTCCCTCCCAGAACCTTCTGCCCATTCATAGAATACTTTAGTTCATGGCCTAGTTTTCCTCTTCCCTGTAGCAATCATTCTAGTAATTTCTTGTGGATTGCTAGCAATATATTGGCTAGCAAATATAACAACACTATGTTTTACGTTTTCCAGTCTTTTTCTCTATCCCACTGAGGTGCCTCTCAGTGGTCGCACCTGGATCCTTATCAGCACCTCCACTCTGTGGACCTGATTTTGAATATTCCACTCTCCATTCACTGTCACCGCCCCTCTTCATTGCTGAAGTTCTGCACTTTGACCTCACTCTCTTTATGCATCATCTGTCTCGTTCAGCTCAGCTTAAAGTTCATTTTTGCTTCCTTGCGTATACCCTCAATTCCTTTGCCCCTGACTCTGTATTCCTCTTTCAGAACCCAAACCTAGTAATAGCTATGTTACCTTCATGCCTGTTTTCAAGCAGCCCAACATCGCTGAAGAATGATCGAACAGACCATTTTCATACTGATGTTTGCAAATCTCAAGTGGATTCTCAGTACTGCTTAGTGATGTTTACTATGTTCCCCTACTAAGTTCATTTTCTAACTTTGAGATAATTATTTTACTACTTTTTTATTTATTTTTTCTAGCTTGACTTGAACTAGCCTTCTCAATGTCCAACACTTGGTTTTTTAATACATCTTTGAGAAAATGCAAATTACCATTTTCTTTTGATTTAATGGATGTATCTTTTTCTTTCAAAGGCAAATACTCCTACTTGTGTTGTTTCCCACTCCTTATTTTCTCAGAAACCTTAATTTTTCTAAGTTTTTCACCTAATTTTTCAAGCCAGAAATCTGCCTCTAAAATCATCCTTGATTTTTCACTTTATCTCTTCTGTGCCTTCCCCCAGTATGATTTAATTAGCGAGTATTTCTGATTCCACTTCAAAAATGAAAATCAAATCAGCCCATGTCAGGCAGTCTCTAGTTTACCAAAGCCACCACATCTTGCCTGTCCTACGTGAAGTAGCTCCTTAACTGCCTTTCTTGCCACTGTTCTTACTCTTGCCAGCATGCTGATGGCCTGGTGTATGGCCACTTAATCCACAGCTGGGCAGGGTTTTGCCGCAGATGACCTGAACCTTGAAAGACTGTTCTGTAATCTAACTGGAACATGGGAATATGGAGGATATCATTTGCCTCTTGATCTTTTGGGAAGGAAATAGTGAGACAGTTTGTCATCACCTGGGTTCTGATGAACTCTGAGACTCCACCTCAAGTCACTTGTAGCATAGAGCTGTAGCCTGTAAAACTAACAACTCAAGATTGGTGCAAAAGTAATTGTAATTCCTGTCATTTTTATTTTATTATTATACTTTAAGTTCTGGGGCACATGTGCAGATCTTGCAGGATTGTTACATAGATACACATATGCCATGGTGGTTTGCTGATCCATCTCCCTATCATCTACATTAGGCATTTCTTCTAATGTTATCCCTCCTCAGCCCATCCCCTAGTATCCCTCCCATAGCTCCCCCACCCCCCAACAGGCCCCAGGGTGTGAAGTTCCCCTCCCTGTGTCCTTGTGTTCTCATTGTTCAACACCTACTTATGAGTGAGAACATGTGGTGTTTGGTTTTCTGTTCTTCTGTTAGTGGGATGATAGTTTCCAGCTTCATCTATGTCACTGCAAAGGACATGAACTTATCCTTTTTTATGGCAGCATAGTATTCCATGGTATATTTGTGCCACATTTTCTTTATCCGGTCTATCATTCATGGGCATTTGGGTTGGTTCCAAGTCTTTGCGGCACATAAACAGTGCCGCAATGAACAAACATGTGCATGTGTCTTTATAACAGAATGATTTGTATCCTGTGGGTATATACCCAGTAATGGGATTGCTGGGCCTAATGGTATTTGTTTCCTTGAGGAATTGTCACACTGTCTTCTAGAGTAGTTGAACTAATTTACACTCCCGCCAGCAGTGTAAAAGCGTTCCTATTTCTCCACACTGTCTCCAGCATCTCGTCTCCAGATTTTTTAGTGATCACTGTTCTAACTGGTGTGAGATGGTATCTCAATGTGATACATGGTTTTGATTTGCATTTCTCTAATGACCAGTGATGATGAGCATTTTTTCATGTTTGTTGGCTGCCTAAATGTCTTCTTTTGAAAAGTGTCTGTTCATATGCTTTGCCCACTTTTGGATGGGGTTGTTTTTTTCTTGTAAATTTGTTTTCTGTCATTTTAAAAAAAGTGTTTCAATGGCAAAAACTGCAATTACTTTTGTACCAATCTAATATAATACTTAGCTGTAACATGGACTCAGCATCTCAGCAACAGAGTGCCCTTCCCCTTATATAGTAATATGTCATCTGGTCCCTTTTCTGTTTTCTTTCTGTAGGGCAAGACATTATGGGAAGGCTGCACCTTTGCATTTTACTGTCTCTGTAAGTACAGTTGACCCTCCATATCTAAGGGTTCCACATCCTTGGATCCAACCAACCACAGATGACAAATAATTCTGGAAAAAATAATTATGTACTGAACATGCAGACATTTTTCTTGTCATTATTCTTTAAAATACATATTATCATGACTATTTACATAGTATTAGGTACTATAAGATACCGAGAAATGATTTTAAGTATACAGGATGATATATATAGGATACATGTAAATACTACACCATTTTTATATCAGGGACTGAGCATCCATGAATTTTGGTATATGAAGGAGGTCCTGGGACCAGTCCTCCATACACACTGAGAGACAACTGTAATAAACAGTCTTACTAGTGCTGATTTCTCTACTGGCCGAATCTGTCAGTCTTGCTTGACATTTCCCATTCAGGACTTTGGTACTTACCATTCCCTCTGCCTGCGTTGCCATTCCCCTGAGCTTTTGCGAGGCCAGCAATAACTGAGTGTTTTCTCTTCCTTTAGGTCTCAGCTTAAGTGTCCTCTTTATGTAAAGCATCTCTACCCTGACACCCTTGCTTCTCTTGGTAATCTCTATCACAGCACCCAGTTTAGGATCATTGCACACATAATGACAGTGGTTAATGATCTAGGAGTGTTTGCTATAAATTCTGGTGATGAGGGAGGGTGATAAGTTCAGATTTCCAGTGTGGTCAGGAATTAGCAGCCTGGGAGAAAGCCCTGTAGGCCCTTAGAAGTTGGACCTTTGGAATGGGCTTTGTTTTTTTGCCATCACCAAACCTCTTAGATTCCAGTATCTTAATTTTAATGTTTGTTATCCATGCAATCTTCTGAATCCACTATTATCTGAGTAGAAAAACGCTGTTATACTCTTATTTTTCTATATTCAAGCCTTATTCTTGAGAAAATCCTTCTTTAAATTACGTTGTGATTTCTCTTAAACGTTTTTTAAGGCAGGTTTCAAAGTCCACATAGTTTTTTCCATTGGTTTCCCTCTGTTAGTTTATTTATTCTTTTGTACAATGTCATTAGTTAGTCAGTTTAGGTTTGCTTTAAAATATATGTTCAGACTCTTGTAAAATCTTATATCAAAAATTTATGTCTGTTTGGATGTTACAAATCGAATATGTTAGGCAAGAAGTATAGAAACCACAACCAAGGTTTGCGTCACTTGTTTAATATACAAAGTCTTTCACAGGTGATTATTTTCTTTTTTCTTAATTTGCTTTAGTACACTTGATTCACAAAACGGTAAGTTGTTAATGCAAGAGAATTATGTAAAACCAAAATAGTACAAATGCCTAATTTCAAAAACTGCACACAGTTAAAATAATTTTTCCTTCTTTGTTTTAATGCAGTATCCAATTTCAAAATGGGCTTTCTTTAGATGTGGAGGAAACACTGCAGCCCAAAATAACAGTAATTGCTGTCAACTGTGTTGATATGTAAAATAGCACCATTGGGCTGACTCAGGAAAGAAAAAAGGTTTTCATCTTTCTTAATTAAAGTATTATATAACAACTATAGTAATAATGATACTAATAACTTTTAAGAGCTCTACTCTGTTTCAGAATATTCATTTTCAAGGCAAGGAAGGGTAAACTATGGGGCAGATGGAAGAATCTTCCCACCTGATCCTCAGCACCCTTATCATTTCCCTTAATGGTGTCATTGCTCTAATGAGCTAATTTTCCTGTCAAAGAATAGATGTTTTAAAGGGTACCCAAGGACTTTTCGCAAAACAAGATAAAATATAACTGAGATCGTCTCTCTGGGACCATTATCACGTGCAGAAGCAGCGCAGAGTGAGATTTAATGCTGGGGCGTTTTGAAAAACTCCTTCAGTCTATACGTATCTTCCTTCAGTTTACACATTGCTGTATCTCAGGTTGTTGGGCTCACTTTAGATTTTTTCATTTTTATTTTGTTTTCAGACTTAAGCTTAATTGCTTTTTGGGCTTCACTTCTTAAAAAAAAATGCAATTTCTTTCTTTTACAATTTAATCTTTACTCCTGTACGTAGATAGTTCTTTAAAAAATTAACAGTGTCAATGCCTGTGGTTTGCGGTATTGATAACACTGATGATTCATGATTCTAAAAAGCCAAGGTTTTTAACAGAACTGTAAGTTCATTCTTCAATTTTAGTTCTTTATTTCAATTCCATTTTATTTTTCCATGAGCAGGTAAACACGCCTCAGAATTGGCATTCTGTCGAAGTTTTTCTTTTTGAAGGGTACGGCCAGCCTACAAGAAAGCACTGCCACAAAGCTAATCGTTTTATTGTTTTAACGTGCAAATATTCCATTGCCACACAGAATGTAAAAAGAAAATAATTAACATTAGGTTTTAGATGCAAGTAGTTATTTCAGATGTTTGAACCATAAACAACCATTGCTGAAAAGCTTCTGAAAAAACTTGAAATTCAAAACTTCAGGTTTCAAAAAGTCAGAAGAATAGCAAAATAAAGTGTTGACTTTTAACCTGCCAGGAAGCTATATTATTTTCTCATTTCGGCAATGTCAGAGCCCAAAAGTTAATTTCAGGAGTTTAGGTATAGTTTTAAAATCTCATGTCCTCTTTTACTATTAGTACAATAATACTTTTATCTTTGCTTTTCATTCTAGAAATGTTTTCTTAGTGTTAGATGTAGCCCTTAATAAATGAGGCTTTGTTTTAGCCAATCATCTTCCACTGTGAGATCAGCCCTGCAACCTATTAGGTTTGTACAGAATCTAAACAAAATTTTCCATATTAATTAAGGTAAAAAAGTATTTTACTTTCAGAGCAAACAAAAGAGAAACCAACATTTCTTTGTCTGCTGGTGTCTAGATGTTTTTCCCCAGGAATGTTTGCAAACAGCATGTTGCCATTAGTAACCCACAGGGAAAATGGATTAGTAAAAAGCTTAGGAAAATTGCATTAAGGTTAATTCCTTAGATGTGATGCCATGATTAAATCACCCACAGCTTTGTTTTTCATAAATGTATTTATCTTAAATATTTAAAATGGGAATTTAAGAGGAATTTAATATACAGTTTAAAGTCCACATATTTTTTAAAACATTACTTGTATCATTTTTTATAAATTTATGCAGAATTTTTGGTTCAGTTTAGTTACCTCAACTTTGTTTTTTCTTTGCTTATAACAAGTTTTAAGAAAGATGAGTTTTAAACCTTTTGTTTCCTGACTGAATGCCTTAACATTTTCCTGCATATATACATGAATACACACACGCCATACACACACACAAAATTGACATTGTTTATCTTTTCTTTATTTCTAAGAATCAAGACTATTTGGACTCAGTGTCAGCCACTACTAATAATATTCATACCGTCTTTCTCTTAAGTGTTTTTTTTCCTTTTTCCTGTGATCTGTGAAGAACAAAGCACATTGATAACTACAAAGTGCATCCATGTGATACCCAGATTTGTGCAATGGGACACTCATGCTTTGGTTCTTATGGCCATCATTGCCTTTTCATGTTAATAAATAATGACAGCTAACAAAAATAAGTCACCTTTTTTAATGTAGGACATCTTTCTTTGACAGGCTACTATATCTATAATCATGAATCTAGCTCACTGTAATGTCATTCACACATCAGTTTTACATGAATATGCAAAGAACACAATAATCAACTGTCAAACCTAAACAAGTAATTACTTATCACAGAATCTGCTGAATATTTTTGCTTTCTAACTGAGCAAGGGAAATCCTGTCAGCTTTTAAAAATAAGGTCTAGATTCTTAGTCATAACAACTACTCATCTGTCAAGTTGACACCTCATATGGATGAAATAAACCTTACACATTTGATTTAATAACAAAACTAGGTAGTTTTATTCCCCTATCGTAAGTACTTCATAGTAGCAAACAAATTAATTTCACAACTTTGCTATAGGCGGATTGTTTTATCTTTCTATACAGTTGGTGTTTTTACCCTTGAGAGAAGTGAACTTCATCTGACTTTAAAATGAGGATACTTAATTTAGTGCTTTTAAAAATCAACATTTGTGAGATTTTGAAATAAAAGTGAATTAAACTGCTGTTTTGAAATATTTCAACTGTTAAAGCAGAAGCTTAGTTTCTACCTTTAGGCCTGTGCTATCCAATATAGTTAATTCAAGTTGACGTGTGCTTTTAAAGTACAAACCAGATTTTGAAAACTTGGTTCAAAAAACAGATGTATACTGTCTCAATTTTTTTTTACATTGATGACATGTTGAAATAACATGTATAGTGTTAAATTTTAAAAAATTAAAATTCATTTTACCATTTATTTTTAGTTTTTAAAATGGGGCTACTAGGAAATTAAAAATTTACTTATTGCATTTGTGGCTGTTGTGTTTCTATTGGACAGCACTGTATTAGAGGAACCAGACAAAAATATACAACCTGATAACTGATTTCTGTGGGTATTTAACAGAGATAATTACATCTGAACATTTTCTGAAAACCTTTTCTTCATGATTTAAACAGAATTCCAAGTATCAATGTCTTCAGATGTATATTGCATCGATTTTAAAAACATGCATCGGTCAAAATAGCCAGACTCCACTATTACCATAAAAATCTGTTAGCCGTCAAAGCATATCAAAATATGCATCCTCCAAGTTCTCTCCCAGTGTGACCTCAGGATAATGCAGACAATTTCAGGCTTAAACCCAAATATGTTTGTTATTTCCAGATGAGACAGATGGTTAACATTGCAAGGCCCTAGAAGTAATACACATTGCAATTCAAGTCTGTATTCTTGAACTTTTCCCCTGTTACTGTGAAGAGTATCATGGGTCCCTTTAATCTTTTATTACCGCCTAAAAGCATTCATTGCTCCAGTAGTTCTTAATTGTCTTAGAAATCATTCTCTAGCAAACTTCACATGTCCATATCATACTTTAGGCCATACTTCTTGGGATCCTGATCATTTGGTGTGTTTTTCGTCTTTCCTCTTTAAACAAAGTCAGGAAAAATGTGTCAGTAGGAGAAAGGAGGAGCTGAAGGGAGTAAATAATTCAAGATCACTTCTGTCATTTGTAGTGGCTGAGGGCTAGAAAGATATTCTTCTGTGAAGAAACTTCCAACTGGTTCCATCAAACTGATACAACTTCAGGGGGGCCACCCTCTGCAGATGGCAGTGAATTTGTACCTGTTTGTGATACAGGCACTACCACAGCATCCTTGATGTCTGTGTTTACATTGCATGAGAAGTTCTTCTCCAGTTTTTTGGCAGTGTCTGGGCAATTTTGTACAAAGATCACACGGTTGTAGGCCTTCAGCCTGCGCCACAACTGAACGTAGACTTTACACTGTACGTACATGAAGACAAGACCTCCTGTGAAGCCAATGGCTACCACAACCAGTTTTGTCCAAAATGGCCATTCAAGGACACCTTTGAAATATAAAAAAGAGAGAATGTTATCACCAAGTTTTTCTCAGTGGATTTGGGCATTTTGTTTTCTATGCCCCTTCAAAAGTGCATGCCTGCCTGCTAGATTGTTAACAAGGAATATATTGTTAATACTGGAAAGACCTGAATTGGCTTAACAATTCCTTTTGAGTATCCTACATGTACTATCAAAATTGTATATAAGGAAATTTTATCACCTGCCACTGTGATAATCTCTTATTTCTCCTAGCATCAAGTATCTATTACAAGATACTATGTTAGATTTTGGACATTTGGACACTTATATCTAAACCTTTAAGGAAGGACAGTGAACATAGGGGAAGAATCAGGTTTAAAAGCCTTTTAAGAAGATGAGGTATGAGTACATGTATGGGTTTGTATGTATAGATCTTCCCACCCTCATTCCTTTAATAATTTAAAAGGAAGTGGAAGAAGGGAGAAGGGGAGGAGTGAAAGGAAAGGGAGGACAAAAGCTGCCACATCACATAAGAGAGAATTCGTGAGTACAAATGTGCAAAAGATTTAGGATTTTAGCCATTTGTTTCATAAATCATATTTTGTCATTGAGGACCATCACTCCTTTATAGACATCTGTATTTTTTCTTAGTTTCCATCACTGTTTGTAGAGATAGGCTTTCTTTTGTAAATAAGCAGTTAAATTATTTTACAGGTGTTTCAGTAATTACAACGGTGAGTATTTAGGCCACATATAATTAGAAATGTTAAACATATGAGGGTCAAGAGTTCACTTCTTGCCCACATGAGGTTAGTGTAGAGGACATAATAGCTGTCTTCTGTAAGTGAAAAGTTGTGAAGTAGAAAAATATAGCTCAGTATGGTACCATACGGTGCCCCAGCTAGGGATGGTAGAAGTGTGCAAAAACCACGGTAATTGAGAGTCTATGATTTGACTTTGGGTTATTTACTTATAGCAGTGAATAGAGTTATAAGAAATATCCTCTGTATATTTTGTAGTAGTAACATTTGCTTTATTCTTCTGGTCGCAAAGCAGAAGTCATGTCCTGTTTCTATCATGATGAAGCACCTTGCACCCTAAGATTAACCAAAAATAAGTGGGTTAGCCTGTCAATTTCTGGTCCCAAAATAATGAAACATTGAATATTTCTTATATCCCCAGACCCCCAACAAAGACATTTTGTTCTTGACTTTTATTTAGCTCATGTTGCAAAATCTTTCTGGATATGCTAATTATGTGATAAGATTTTGGTATTTTTAAATTTTTTGACACGGAGTCTCACTCTGCCACTCAGGCTGGAGTGCAGTGGCACAATCTTGGCTCACTGCAACCTCTGCCTCCCAAGTTCAAGTGATTCTCCTCTCTCAGCCTCCTGAGTAGCTGGGATTACAGGCATGCACTACCACGCCCAGACAATTTGTTGTATCTTTGGTAGAGACGGGGTTTCACCATGTTGGCTAGGCTGGTCTCGAACTCCTGACTTTGTGATCAACCGCCTCAGCCTCCCAGAGTGCTGAGTTTACATGCGTGAGCCACCATACTTAGCCAAGATTTTTTCTCTATGAACAAACTAATGCAAACTTAGTAATTGTGGTAATCTTTATGTTTTCTCTAAATACCTGTTATATTTTTCACTTGCTTATCCAGTTTTTCTAAAGTCTGAGTCCCTTGAACCTTTGCAAGTAAACTTTTTCTTTTAAAAATGCTTTGGCTCTGACTCTTCCTTTGAAATTTTTGGGGAAAAAATGTTTCTGATCTTAAAAGTGTTTGTGAGAAAACATGAAAAGCCTCTCGCTGTTGATGTCTCATTAATTTGTTGCTCTGTTTGACATTGTCGATTTAAATTTCTATGCCTCTTTCAGTAATCAAATATGAACTTAGTTTTGCAGTATACTAAATATGTGCAATCAAATTTATTAGAACCTTTACTGATAGCAAAGGTAAATTTTTTTCTAACTCCTAATATACAATAACTTCTTTATGACTTGAATAATTCATAATGGTTATCATTTTGAACATTTACTTAATCCTAATGGAAATAATACTTCAAAATATCATTAGCTAAAGCTCACACAAGGAGAAGTAAGAGATCATTACAATGGCAGGTGTAATTAATAGGCAGATAATCTAAATATCCTAGATCTATTAAAGAAATTAAATAAACAATAACCTTTCAGAGCAGAAAGCACCAAGTTCAAATAGTTTTACTAGTAGATTCTACCAAACATTTAAAGAATAAATGACATCAATATTCTACAATCCTTTTCAGAAAACAGAAGAGATAATACTTCCTAACTAATCCGGTGAGACCAGCATTAACTAAATTTGGCAAAGACAAATTACTATGAAGAAAACTTATAGGCCAGTATCTCTTATGAACAGATATAAAAAAATCAACAAAATATTAGCAAATTGAATTCAACAATATATATAAACAATTACACACTACAACCAATAGAGATTTAACGTAGGTATGCAAAGTTGGTTCAACATTCAGAAATCAATGTAATCTCATCAATTAGCTAAAGAAAAATGTGAATAGATCAATAAATGCAGAAAACACATTTGGCAAAATCACTCAATCTTGATGATAAAAACTAGGAGTGGAAGGGCATTTGCTTAATGGATAAAGAACAGAGAAAATTAGCTGACATCATAATGGTGAGAAACTAGATGCTTTCTCCCTAAGATCAGGAACAAGACAAGGATGTGCCTTACCACTCCTATGCCATATCACACTGGAAGTCCTAGCTAAAGCAATAATGCAAGAATAAGAAAAAATGATTAGGAAAGAACAAAAATATCTTTGTTCACAACTGATACGATTGTATATAAAATCTCAAAAGCATTGATGTTTTTTAAAATACGTGATTAGGACAATATTGTAGGAAACAAAAGTTTTACAGATAGTCAATTGCTTTCCTATATACAGCAATGAACAACCAGAATTTGAAATTAAAAACCAGCCTGTTTGCATTTATGCCAACAAAGCAAACAAAAAGAACAATGACAACAAAAACCTTAGGTATAAACTTAACAAAATGTGTACAAGAGTTATGTGAGGAAAACTATAAAGCTATGATGAAGGAAATAAATATCTAAATGAAATAAAATGTTCCATCCACATATGGATAGGAAGACAATATTAAGATATCCTTTCTTCCCAGTATGATCTACAGATTCAACACTACCCCATTCAGAATTCCAGCAAGTTATTTTATGGATATTGACAAACTGATTCTAAACTGTATATGGAGAGTAAAAGACTAGAATAGCCAACACAATATTGAGGTGGAAGAATAGAGTTTTTGAAGACTGACTATCCTTGATCAGTGATCAAGACAGTGTGGTATCAATGAAAGAATAAAGAAATAGATCAATGAAACAATAGCCAAGATATAAATATAGAAAACATATTTAACGAGCAAAGTCAAGTCAATAGAGAAAGGATAGTCTTTTTAACAAGTAAATGGGTGCTGGTATGATCAAATATCTTGAGTCTGTACATAGACCTTACAGTTTTTACAAAAATTAACTCAAAATGGATTATAGACCTAAAATGTAAATTGTGAAGCTATATAATTTGAAAAAGATAAGAAAACTTAGGTGTCCAAAGTATGATCTATAAAAAGAAAATTGATAAATTGGACTTTATTAAAACTAAAACCTTTCGCTCTGACAAAGTAACTGTTAAGAGAATGAAAAGCCACAGAAAAACGTATTTGCAAAACACATTCTGATAAAGGATTTGTATCCAAAATATACAAAGAACCATTAACATTCAACCATAAGAAAATAACCTAATTACAAAGTTAGCAAAAGATCTGAACAGAGGTCATCAATGAAGATAAACAGATGGTAAGTAAGATTATCAATATATGTGATGAGAGAATTGCAAATTAAAACAAGATACCATGTATTTATTAGAATGGCCAAAGTTTAAAAAAGAACACTGAATGTTGGAGAGGTGCAACGACAAACAGGAATTCCCACCCATTGCTGATAGGGATGCGGAGTGGTACAGTCACTTTGGAAACAGTCTGGCAGTTTTTTACAATGCTAACCACAAGCTTTTCAAATGATACAACACTATACTTACTCAAATGAGCCAAAACATCCACACAAAACCTGTACACAAATGTTTGTAGCAGCTTTCTTCATAATTGTTCAAAAATTGGAAAAACCAAGTTGTCTTTCAATCTGTGAATGAATAAACTGTGATACATCTATACAATGGAGGGTTATTTAGTGATTAAAAAAAAAATGAACTGTCAAGCTACAAAAGGACACAAAGGAACCTTAGGTGCATATTGCTGAATGAAAGAGGTCAGTCTGAAAAAGCTACATACTGCTTGATTCCAACTACACGGTAATTCAAGAAAAGGCAAAACTGTGGAGATAGTAAGATCAGAGTTTGCCAACAGTTTAGGGAAGAAAGGAAGGCATGAATAGGTGGAACACAGGGACTTCGCACTATTCTGTATGATTGCATAATGTTGGACACAGCACATTATCCGTTTGCTATAACTCATAGAAATGTACAGCACAAAGAGTGAACCCCAAAGTAATGATGGACTTTAATAGTAATGTATGAGGCCAGGTGTGGTGACTCATGCCTGTGATCCCAGCAGTTTGGGAGGCTGAGGTGGGTGGATCACCTGAGGTTGGGAGTTTGAGACTAGCCTGGCCAACACAGTGAAGCCCCATCTTTACTAAAAATACAAAAATTAGTTGGGCGTGGTGGTTAGTAATCTGTAATCCCAGCTACTGGTGAGGCTGAAGTGGGAAGAATTCTTTGAACTCAGGAGGCAGAGATTGCAGTGAGCTGAGACAGTCCCATTACACTCCAGCCTGGGCAACAGAGTGAGACTGTCTGAAAATAATAATAATGATAATAATATATGAATATTGGCTCCTCAATAGTAACAAATGTAGCACGTCGAGGCAAGATGTTAATAATAAGAAAAATGTATGTGTGCAGGGTGGTATGTGGGAACTCTCTTTA